CACATTCTTAAACCAGTCTTCAATGTCGATTATAGTGGTTTCAACGTGGAGGTCATTCCTAAAGGATTGCCATTCCGTTAACCGCGCTATTCCAGTCTTGGTATGTTTACGAGTGTGCGCTACGGAGAGTTGGATGATGTGATGATATCTGCCAAACGTTTCCGGTAGCACACTCCACTCTGCCCTAGTGACGTTTGCCGTAAATGTAAGATCTGGATTTGTATCCCTGGAGACGCTGTTCCCGATTCTCGTCTTCTGAAGAAGGTCGTTCCACAGGGTAAGTCTATGTTGTTGAGCAGTATCGTGCACCCTAGAACCCTTCCTCGTGGTGATATGATAGCCCCATGCCGTGTGAGAGGCGTTAAAGTCTCCCATTATTATGATCTGGTGGCCATTCATGCGTTTCCTGATTTCTCGTATGAAGTGATCGAAGTCTGGTAGTTGGTCCCGAGGGGGGCTGTATATATTGGTTATGAAAAGACTGTGCTGCGTTTTTCGTTCCGGCAGAATCTCTATTAGGGTATGTTCTATCTGAGTGTCCTTGATTTCGTGTTTTCGCGTTGAAAGTGCTTTCTTGACAAGTATGGCAGAGCGTTGGGTTTGTGCGCAGGTCGTGTACCCTTGCAGTCGTACGTTCTGTGTGTTGGTTTCCTGAAGTGCAATGATGTCTGGATGGTTAAGCTTGATGAATTCTTGTAGGCTTGCGTGTCGAGGGCGGTATGACCGACAGTTCTATTGCCATATGCGTAAAGTTGAATGCTGAACCTGTGTTGTGAAGAAAAAAAAGGATTAGCATCTAAATGATCCATAATGAGAGAGTAAATGACATGTTCCATGATTTTGCTTGGCAGACTCGTAAGGAAGATGGGTCGATATTTAAAGGGTGAAGCCTGTCGCCTGCTTTGTAGAAGGGAATGACCATCCTCATTTTGCAGTCATGAGGTATGCAGTCTTCCAAAAGTGACTGAGTAAACAAAAAACACAAAAATGCAGCAGATATATCTTTAGTATTTTTAAGAGCTTTGAAATAATACCATCGATACCGGCACATAACGAAAGTTCTATGTTATCAATCATATGTGAAATACCATCCACGCTGAACGTGATGGCCAGCATGCCAGGTGCTATGGGTACCCGATTCAAATTCCGCCTCACCAAGAAAGTTTATTTTGTTTTAAATGCGAAGCATCTCTTAGCGAACTTCGTGACGTTAAGCGTATCTATCTATCTATCTATCTATCTATCTATCTATCTATCTATCTATCTATCTATCTATCTATCTATCTATCTATCTATCTATCTATCTATCTATCTATCTATCTATCTATCTATCTATCTATCTATCTATCTATCTATCTATCTATCTATCTATCTATCAATCTATCTATCTATCTATCTATCTATCTATCTATCTATCTATCTATCTATCTATCTATCTATCTATCTATCTATCTATCTATCTATCTATCTATCTATCTATCTATCTATCTATCTATCTATCTATCTATCTATTTAGCCACCTACGACTTCTAGCTCATAGGCCGTTTCGATAATGCTATTGATACCAAACTCGGTATGGCAAAACATGACTGTACGAAGAACATATTTGACCAGTCATAACACGAAAATCATGACATGAATGTCATGAATGTCATTATTTAGATTTCATGGTCCTGCACTTCTTTCGGTGGTTTCGTTCACATGGCATGTGGCAAAACTGGTATGGTATAGCATGGTTGCATAGTGAACACAAGAGACAGACCCTAACATGACAAACATGACATGCGTGTCGTGTAACAATACGACTACATACCAGTCTCATGATGCGCTCGCGGCCGTTTCGCCAGCGTCAGATATGCCAAATTTGGTATTAAGCTACGAGGATGGACGACGAACGTATGTGCCTGGTGCAAATATGATAATCATGACATGCGTGTCATGTGCCAACGTGACTACATGCCACGCTCATGATGCGCTGGTGACCGTTTCGCTAGTTTCACTTACACCAAATTTGGAATTGCGGCACGTGAATGAATGACGAAGGTGCGATACTGGTGCAAACGTGATAAACATGAGTTGCGTGTCATGTAACAACCTTACTACATGCCACGCTCATGATGCGCTCGCGGCCGTTTTGCTAACGTCAGATGTACCAAATTGGATATTACGGTACGTGAATAGATGACGAAGGTATGTGCCTGGTGCAAACATGATAATCATGAGATGCGTGTCATGTAACAATATGACTACATGCTACGCTCATGATGCGCTCGCGGCCGTTTTGCTAGCTTCACATGTACCATACTCGGTATTACGCGATGCGAACGGACGACATAGGTGAATGACACATCCAAACATGATAATCACGACATCGGTGTCATGTAACAACATGACTACATGCCACACTGATGCTCTCGTGGCTGTTTCGCAAGCTTCAGATATGCCAAATTTGGTATTACGTGACGCCAATGGATGACAAAGGTACGTGACTGGTACATACATAATAATCATGAGATGAATGTCATGTAAGAACATGACTACATTCCACAGTCAAGGTGCAAATATCTTTCGAAGTTACGTGGTGCGCTTGTTCGCCGGCGTTCATTTCGAGGCGCCGGTGCTGCCATGTACTCTCAGGTGCGCGTCGTGCTGCTTTGCTTTGACGCGTGCGCGTTTCAGAGCGTCCGGCGTCTCTGCGTCACGAACAGAGGGAGGCGCATAGTTGTCTGGGTAACGCATCGGTGCAAAATGCAGCATGTGCAATTTCGCACTGGTGGCCGTCGGGCCATGGCGATGGGCGCTGGTCGCACCGGTCGCGCCTGGCGTCAGCCTGAAGAGCTCGCGTTTTGCTAACGTAGCGTCGCTGTGCCCAGCGTGCGCACGCGTCAACGCTACACTGGAGTATACTGGGCCCATCACGATGCGCCTGGGGCCGTTTTTCTGGCTACAAATTTACCAAATTTGGTGTTAAGTGACGTCGATGAAATACGGAAGTGTATGACTGGTGCAAACATGATAATCCTGACACGCGCGTCATGCAAGAACATGACAACATACCACACTCATAGCGTGCTCGCGGTCGTTTCGCTAGCTCCACATATACTAAATATGGTATCACGTGACGTGAATAGATGATAAATAAGCGACACATTCAAACATGATAATCATGACATGGCAGTCATGTATAGCCTTATTCACCTCCAGCTCATAATGTTGTGCTGATTTTCAAATGAGATATCAACCTTTTTCTTTGGTCCTTCGCATATCATCGATTCCCACTGTGGGATCTGCCAATTTTATTTACTTCTTCTTCGCCCTCTTTATCTTCTACTGTCCTCTTCCTGCTCTCCGTTTTGCCAGGCTTAATTCATGGTTAACACTGGTCACTCTGCTGCTTCCGAACTCCTTGCCTAAGCACCCCTTTTCTGCCAGCCTTTACCACGACCTACTGTGCTATTGACCTGTACAGATGGTGGTGATTCGATAGGAGCTCGTGTGTCAACTCTCGTTCAACAGCTCATCGTTGGTGGCGTTAGCTATAACCTATTCCTCTACTCTATAGTTGTTTGGACGGCGCTGGAGTGAGAATGCCTGCATTCTGGGATCAACTGCCGGCATATGTGGGACTATTTCTTTATTTAGATGGCTAGTCAAGGAAGCTGTTCAGTGCGTTAAGTATTTATTGCACACTGGTTGACAAACCTGGTAACCCGTAGATTTACATAATGGAAGACAGCTTATGTGGTGTTGCCTTCATTTTATCGCAAACAACTTCTGGATGACGATTAGTATATTTATTTCCGAGATATTTTTATTTGTGCATAATAATAACGCACTATCAGTGCTGTGTTGACCGAAATAGGACCACAAACGTTGAAGGTGACGTCAGCGAGCAGGCGCTGACTGCCGCCACACAGCTCGTAGTTTAAGGCCTTAGCGGCAGAAGATACAAACTAGACATGTGCGCTGAATGGGTGGTATCTTGGCAGGTCGGGAGTGCAGTAGACCACGGCCTTTACTCTCCCTCCCCACCTCAGGCTCCAACATCCGTCTCCACCACTCTCCCTCACTCTTTTAGTCCCCGTAAAATGTGTGCTACTTCACCATATGGTTTAATGATTCCTCAATCTCCTAGACTTTCTTCCCTTCCTCCACGGGCTTCGCTTCCCCTCTCACTAGCTGCACTCGTTGTGATATTCGTTCAATATTTGTGGCTAACGCCCAGTCGTGTTTTCTGCAACGGTGACCTCACTCTGTGCCTAAATAGCTCCGCTTTAAATATTTTGCAGTTTGCACTCGGTGGCTGCATCACATAAAATGTATCCCCTAAATGCATTGGCTTCGCTGCATATAACACAAGCAAGGAAATGCTATTCTAGTATGGAATGCTTTTGGCTCATGATGACCATGAGCGAAAAGCCGGGGCTTTGATCTGGCTACTCTGATGATGACAGCTGGTAATCGTAGCCAGAAAAACAGCAAAAAATTTGAACACAAGTGAAACTTGAAAAAATTGTAGTATCTGACCATCATGTCTTCGAACCAGATCGCTCTACATACGCTATTTAAAGCCAAAACAAAGCGCGAAACCATATCCTTTTTCAAGTACTTATTGTTCTTCAGCCATATCGATGGCTGCATGGCATTCTGTCATTAGTTAAAACGAGACAGACAATAGGTGCAAAACACGACGACATGAGCAGCACTTCAAATGAATTTGAAATTAATTTGAAGGGCAGCCCAGGGCATATTGTTCATCTTTCTTTTGAGTTTAATTCTTAAGAGCAGCAGAATGTCATGCAGTAATACCAAATAAGCTTAGAAGAAATTATCCTCAAGTACAGGTGAGGCTGAAACCTTTGGCTCACCAAATTTTTATATATCATTTCTAGTAGCTGCACTTTGAAGGCAGATACCGGGCGCCTCATCATTTGTGTTCGCTGTTTTAAATACCAGCGGCTCGTCTGCATAGCGTTTGCATAGAGTTTCGCTAGCTCTTAAAAGAAGTTTCTCTAAGGTATACGTGTGGGGAAAACCGTTTTAGTAGAGACGGCACATGCAACGAGACGACACATGCAACAAGTAAGCTTTTTATCTTGAAATGTTTGCGCAAGCACACAGGGACACAGAAGAGAATACAAACGGGTGGTTGCGTATATATAAGGCAGAGTGGCAGGTGTATTAAAACGAGGCCAAGAGAGCATATGTCACGTCTAAAAAGTCACCCTAACAAACATTTAGCAATGCATTGCAATGGGTGCGCATGTTCTTGTTTCAACAACGCACCTTGGAATATAGGCATCGAAACAGAATTTCAAGAGAAATAATGGAAGCCTATCTCATGGGCAAGCAGAAAGATAAGTCACGCTTCACTGGCAAAATAAACTTCGCTCTTGTCTGTTTTTCAATGAACTTGTGATTGTTAGTTGTGATATGTGCGCAGTCCAAATGTTTTTTGGGGACTAGAGCGCGCAAATCCGAGGGGTATTCAGTGAATGTTTTCGAAAAATAAACCAGTTGTTAGATTGCACCCATCTTTGTTCTCTTCTGTGTCCCCGTGTGCCTGCGCAAAGATTTCAAGTTGGAAATGTTCCAACTAAGCTGAATCGTAGTTTTGCTTAAGTAAGCTTTCAGGCCTGCATCATGTCACGAGCCCGAATGCAACTTACAACGGTAGATTGGACTCCTTCACTCACAGGACATAATGGCGTCCAGATGCACCAGCGTATAGTATGTCGGGGTGTTCTGGGGTGTGGTGAAATGGAACCTTGATCACATACATGCACTATATCTAGTTTAAGATTATGACCAGTACCATCTCGAACGTGCCCGCTTTACCGGAAACACTTTTTTTGTATATACGTACTCTTGATTGCGAGCGAGCCATGCGTTTTTTTTCGGATGGTATGCATAATAAATTTCCCGTAAAGCGATAAAGTCACTAGTAACCTTTTTTTTAATTTTTATTCCTTCATGAAGGTAACCTTTTTTCGAATTCAGAGTGATCACACGTTCAAGACCGCCAAATGCTGTGGCACTTTTTCTGCGAGATCACTGTGCTCACATCGACAATTTTGACTGTTGCGAAATGTGAGTAGCGTTGTACTTCTCTTTCTCCTGCGTGCGAATCTCCAGCATGTAGCCCCGCCGCGGTGGTCTAGTGGCTAAGGTACTCGGCTGCTGACCCGCAGGTCGTGGGTTCGTATCCCGGCTGCGGCGGCTGCATTTCCGATGGAGGCGGAAATGGTGTAGGCCCGTGTGCTCAGATTTGGGCGCACGTTAAAGAACCCCAGGTGGTCGAAATTTCCGGAGCCCTCCACTACGGCGTCTCTCATAATCATGTGGTGATTTTGGGACGTTAAACCCCACATATCGAATCAATCTCCAGCATGTATTTATGTATATCCACTCAAAACCTTCACCAGCGAAAAGTGTAGTACGCACCTTTCGAGCGAGCTGGAGCTTGCATAAGTAATGCTATCCCTTTAGAGTGCGCCGCCTACGCCTACTTTTCTTCTCGTCGTGATAACATAACTCTAAGGGCTCAAAGTTTCAGTAAAACGTTTCCCGTGTATTTATCGCGCGGCGTGATGCTGCTGGTTAAAGCATCTGCATGACGTGCGTTTCACACACACACACACACACATATACATATTATATATATATATATATATATATATATATATATATATATATATATATATAGTCCAGTAGATCCTCCGTGAGCGGTCACAACATGGTTTATTTCGACGTTTCGGCCTAGAGTCTGGCCTTCATCAGGATCCTGATTAAGGCCAGAGTCTAGGCCAAAACGTCGAAATAAACCACGTTTTGTGACCACTCATGGAGGATCTACTGGACTATATGCAACGCTACGGCCACTAAACCACCATGCCTGCCTATATATATATATATATATATATATATATATATATATATATATATATATATATATATATATATATATAGTTTCTACGTCTGTGTGTGTATGTTAAATGTGTTGCATATATATATATATATATATATATATATATAAATATATATATATATATATATATATATATATATATATATATATATATATATATATATATATATATATATATATATATATATGTAGAAGTAAATAAGTATAAGTAGGCACTAGTAAACATGTTGTCGTTCGAGCAGATGCCCTTGCAAAGATTTTAGAAAATGGGGAATAGAGCACAGTTTGTATGCAGAGATCAAAAATACCTAGGTGAACGGTAGCTGATCAATTGGTGTTTACTCTCAGTAGAAAAACCAAGTAGTTGCTTAAGGCTACCAAAGAAAATATTTACCCCACAGTTCGGTGTTTGGGTAATGAAAATGGTCGTGTACCTAAAAAAAAAAAAACACGCCTCCTGAGCGCGCACCGCCAGTGGCGAGTTGCTCTTAATAAATTATTGTCCGTTTACCAGGCGATTGCTGTAATAACATAAATCTTCAAATTAGGCCATCTGCGCTTTTGTAAACTCCAATATTATTTTGCATATTATTTACACTATTTGTACCTATTCTTCAGAAATGTTGCACCTGCCACCGCAGTCTCTGCACGCACTCCATGGCGAACAGGTGCTTTGTATGCCCTTCTCTTGCTTCTGTACGCACTTCTCGAGCGTTTTCACAGTATAACTAATGTGGAGCTAAGAGTAACATGGGCATAGCGTAAACAGTGAGAGCTGGCCAAATTATTCTGGTCCGTTATTATTAAACATCACGAAGCACATACAGTGGACGCATAAACCTCTTTTGTTTGTTTTCTTGTCTGCGTCACTGCGCTATACCTGCAACTGCGATGCGTTTCGGCTTCAGAAGGTCCGCTGCAGTGCCTTTGTCTTTCGAAGACATCACAAGGTAGAGTTCTTGTTACTCTTGGCTACAGAACATTCGGGCTTCACCTTCTTACGTGTCAGACATATTAACTCATTCACAATCCCTTCTAGGGCATACTGGTCTTGTTTACCGACCATATTTCGTTGACACCAGTGTGACGCACAGTCATACAAAAATAATCTGTTGCCAATGCATGAAACGCACCAGTGACAGCCACCACCAACGGTTTCGTGAAAATGTAGCGAAAAAATTGACAACAAAAGAATATTATTCTGCTAATTCGTCTTGCATGAGAAGCGAAAATATAAAAAGGACGCACTACCTAGCGGAGAACGAGGAAATGGGGCTCAGAGATGCACAATTCCTACAAAACTTGGTACAACGGGAATGAGAAAAGAACACGAACAGTGCGATTTCAGTATGATCTGCTGTTTCACATTTCTTTTTTAAGTATAGCCAGCAACTTCGTACGTATGCGGCACGGTGTTTTCTGCTTGACCTTCAGTTTGTGTGCGCTGCTGCTACCATAACAGAGCAAGGGTATCCGGATGAGTTCAGCTTATCAACCTGGTTGTAAAATCTTTCTTGCATTGTGTGAGCACAGGACCACGTCGACGCCAATTCAAAGCACATTGATGTTATTGCCCTGTTAACAAGTTCCGCGTGCGCCGAGTCGTAGGGTTAACGTTCTTTACAAGAACGATGGTACTAGCACTAGCAAATATGTCGCTCTGATAGCGTGAGAATTACGTCTAAGGAAAGCGAGTATATTCTATGCAAGCGAGTAATATTCAGTATCTATGCAAGCGAGTAATATTCATGAACATCGGCCGAGGCGAATCGCAGTAGCCTCGGCCAAAGTCAAATCTCCTACGGCTAGCTTCACGCCCCTTATAGGAACCAGGATAGGTGGGCGTCACGATCTTCATAAGCACAGGTAATATACGCTAAGAGCTAGTGCTAAATTCTAAGCACTTTTGTGCGTGCTTCAGGCCACTTGAGTGTCTATCTACTACATACTATAGTAACACCAAACGCGTTAATCTTAATTGAAGCGCTGGTGTTCGCAGGGATTGTAGCTCTGTTCACTGCTACATAAATCAATTTGGCGTGCTTGTTTGTAACGATTGCATCCGTTTACAAGATCCTATTACCTGCAATCAGTGTACTATGAGCAAGAAATAATTATATATCTGACTGCATGAAGGTTAATTGATAGTGCTGTGCTGCAAAAGCTTGCCTGTATGCTCATCATCGGCGTTCATATAATCTTTTTCTTTCTGGAGGTTCAAGCTGCGAAGACAATCAGAAAGCTACTTATTGTACGAGAAGCCAAATTGTGCGTCAAGCTATGTGCCCCAAGACCAAGCATTGGACATGCACGGTCGGTTCATGGAGCTGCGCATGCCAAGACAAGCTGTACAGGAGCAAAGACGGAGCCTGCGTTCTTTTAAAACACTGCGGTAATGACTTTACATACTTAAGTTTAGAAGGTACACACCTTGTGCGTCACAATTAGGCTCAAATGGAAAGTTCACTGAATTGGGAATTCTTGTGTTGCCTTTGTTTTTAGTGAAAACGCTCTAAGGTAAACAAATGCCGTATATTAGAGCTTGTCTTTTTTATCACTGTTTTGTTTAAAATCGATCAGCATGCGTTTCGTTGGCTGTTACATGGCAGCAGATCATTGTCACAGGCACCCTCTTGAAGCCTTATCTGCTGGGTTATCGTCGGCTGAATATCTGGGAAAGATAATATTTGCATGAGAGTTTCTAATTCGTGACATTAGTCTTTTAGGTGCATTTCTTTATTGTTCGGCTTCTTTTTGGAAAACGAAATATATTATTTCATTATTTTCAAAGCATGTCGTTGGTATTTTTGTCACATCTTCAGAGAACATAATCACCAGAATCATAAGTTCTGAACATTGATGCTCCGAAGAGACCAACCCGGCTATGTAAAAAGTTCCGCATAATTGCTGTCGAACTTTTAGTGTGAAAGCACAAGATCTGTTAGCGGGTCTCGTTTTTTCTATATTGTAAACTAATTAAACCGACAGACTTAGGAAGGCATCGGAAACATTATTTATTATTTGTTCACGGCAATTTAAACATTCTAATTAAATTGAAAGGATGTCAAGTGGACGAAAGATCATCCTTTTAGTCCGTGAAACCAGAACCTAGAACCTTTGAACTATGCGTGCAATGCCCTGTATGATTTGAGCAAGAACAATAGTTGCTCCCTTGTCAACATTTTTGCAGGGTATTTATGCGTGCTTACTACCTGGGAGTGCTATCCTCCTCCTCCTATAGAAAATGTAGAAAGTGTGGAATACTTTTTTCGCCAGAAGGCTTTACGGGGCTCGTTACATTTGTCCGAGACGGTGGCTGTCCAATAAACCTTCGCATACCGAAAAGTGGAGTTGTTGAATTGTCAAGGAGGATATCGGCTGTTACTCTGCTGAACCATTCTCTGTCTTCTAAAGTGGTGAATTCATTTACTATTCCGTCGCACGTAGCTAAGATAGGAATTAATGTACACACGTAAACTAGGTCTTCTGACAATACGAAGTAATAGAGAGCAGTCCAGCCTTATTTGTTGACAAACTGTGACATATTTTATTTCTCTACTTTTCACTAACAAGCTACGCTTCGCATACGAGGTAGGCTTCGCGAGCTATACACATGAGTGTCCGTAGTTTATGCTTCAGGACCTTACAGTCTAACTTCCGCTCTTTATCGCGGCCGAAAACTTCACAAGTAAATATTAGGGTCCAGTGCCATGCTTCAAGCTTTGAGTTTTATAAGTGACTGTTGCGCAAAGAAACGAAATATTGCTTCCACTCGAGTGTGCTGTATCCCAAGACCTACGTTGTAACTTAGTTGAGTGGTGAAGATATTGAACAAAAAGTGTTACTTTGCGCTGGCTTGATATCTGAGAGGAGTACAGTCCAATCGTAGTCAACATTCGAGCTGCTTCAAACGTCCTCACGAAATTCGTGTTTGCCCTGCACGTATGGGTTTCTCTAAGTTTATTTGCTTGTCACGACCTGCTAACATAGCACAAAAGTACGGTTCTTGAGAGACAGCAGAAAGTAAAGGGGCTTGCGTGACAAGGCAGAAAATTGTCCTGAGAAAGTGCTAGTCAGTGCACCAGAACATGGCCCTTGACATACGTCTAAGGCGATGGCCTCGGGGACTGTGCTTAATATAGTCACACCAAGACTCGCATAAAATAATACGTGGTATCGGCACTGTGGAAATCTGGTTCCTCAGTGCGGCTCAACAACCAACAAGCAATAGGAAGTGCTCTTCTACTTGAAGTTTGAAAGAAAGTATAAATAGAAAGCCTTAGCTCACCATCGTAGAAAAAGTTTCCACCTCACTGGTAAAGTACGGTAACGAATGTTAGGCAAATGTTCCATCGGGGCGTGTGCAAAGCAGCTGACTGCCCTCCTCGCCGAAACTAAGGCCGGCGACCCCTGTCGCAGCAACATCTTTAACAAATATTAGCGCGACGAAAACCTCCAACAACCTGCAGCCGCGTCGCAGAAGAGTAGAAGCCCCGCAGCGGAAGGTGAAATACCGAACGGAAATGGCCAGAGAAAGAGCGTAAGTATAATGAGCGCACTGCGTAAGCGCCACTAATGCCTGCGACGCCAGCGAACTGCTGTCAACCACACTTTGCAACAAATCATGTTCGTTTCACTTGCGTCTCAACCACACTTTGCAACAAATCATGTCTATAGGCAATATTTCGCTTCACACATTGCCTCCTCAAGTCAGAGGTGCACACGATGCACTGAATTTACTATCTGTACCTTTCTTCTTTTTCCTGCTCTTCCCTGCTCTCTCTTTCTCATCGTATATACTTCACTAATAACCCAGTATTAAGTAGCCAAAAGGATGCCTTTGTGGTTAACCTCCCTGCCTTCTTTTCTGTCAGCTTCCTTCCTTCCTGGAAGTGATTCTCTCACAAAACTCTTGTGCCCGTGTCTCAGTATTTTCAATTTGCTTTCCTGGAAATCCTCGGAGCTGCACACCCTCTTTTGCGGTGATGCTTCAGGACACACCTGAGAATGTTCCAGGCGTGCAACCGTCGCGCCGGGCTTCGTCGTCCAGGAAGCGTAGCAACGCGTCGAGCGACACGGACAGCGAGGCAACCGATTTGTACTCAGACGGCTTTGAGTCATCGGATGATGACTGCACGGTCGTCATGAATCGATCTACAAAACGAAGACTGCTACGGACGGCATCGTCGGCAAGTGTTTCCACCGTTAAGACTGCACCACAGCGGTGGCCGCACACCATGCTGTTTATGCTCGAAGACCTTGCATCTAACTTGCGACTCCTCAACAGGCAAGTTCTTTCTGTGCTTCTCGAGGAAACCGCGCCGAATGAGATCAAAGACGTGAGGATCAATGCACGGAAGAATGTCCTTGCTGTAGACGTTATGCACCATAGCGCACTGCAAAGCCTTCGACACATAACAGAAATCGGCAACGTGAAAGTTCGGTCAATGGTCGCTACAGGTTGTAATGGCACTGTAGGCGTCATTTATGATGTGGATCTTTCCATCTCAGCTAATGACCTGCCAATACTAATAAAACCAGTGACAGAAGGCACCCGCATCACGCACATTACCAGACTTGGCAGCTCACGCTGCTTGAGGCTTGTGTTCGAGGGAGACAGCCTTCCCTCGTATGTCAAAGTTGGCCATGTTCGCCACTCAGTGCGTCCATACATACCGAAGCCACTGCAATGCTACAAGTGCTTCAAGATGGGACACGTAAAAGGTGTCTGTGAGAACAAAGTTGTGTGTCCGCGGTGTGCTGAGTCTCACTCAAGAGACTCCTCCGGTGCCACCGAGTTACGATGTCCAAACTGCCACGGCGCTCACGAGGCCTCATCCAAAGATTGCCCGCGGGTGCGAAACGAGCACGCGGTACTCAGGCGTATGGTGCGGGACAATTCAACGCACAGGAAAGCTGCCGCTACACTACGCCAACGACGGCGTCGTGGGCGAAGACCATGACGGAAAAACTGCTCTACCGATAGAGAGATGTCATACTCTATCAAAGAGGCTGACCCACAAACGCCGAGCTCACTGAAGACGGATACTGTCAAACAGAAGAAAGGGACAGGAGTCGCACCTTCCGAACAGTGGCCCTCACTTCCACGAAGTCAACCTACTTCGGAGCTGCATCAAATCCCGCCGCCCTCGACGACCCTTCAAACCAGTGATGCGATGAATGAAGATCAAGTGATAACCTTGCTGCAATCGCTCATGAGTACCATGCGTGTCCTACTGAGTAATATGAAGACATCGGCTGCGCAGACCGCGCTGCATGTGCTGGACACCCTGAGTCCGGTGCTTGCAGCTCTAAGGTTAAACCATGGCCAGCGAGGCACCGTCGTTTCGAGCGGCAGTCAAGAATGCATCTGTCTATCAGTGGAACGCCAGAGGACTGAAGTCACGCATGTCTGACTTTAGACAGTTTGTATTTGTGAACCGCTTCCCCATTATTGGGATTTGTGAACCCAACCTGTGTGCTTCAATCAAGCTGTCAGTATATGAGTGCTTTATGTCCTCCACTCACAGAGACTGCAGCAAAGTTATGGTATTCATTCGCCATGACCTCACCTACGTTCACCACAGAGTCTCGCCTGATGAAGGGAATCAGTATGTGAGCCTTACTGTGAAGAAGGATAAGGTTGCTTTCACAGTTATCGGAGCTTACTTATCTCCATTAAGCCGCCTTGACTGCGAGCGCTTGCGCAGTATTCTGACATCGAATCCAAGGCCATGGGTGATCACTGGCGACTTCAATGCCCACCATTTCCCATAGGGAAGATCCAGGGACAACTCTAGAGGAAATAAATTGGTGTCCTTAGCCTCGGAGTATGAACTCTGCGTTTGTAACGATGGAAGCCCTACATATTTACGCGGATCAGCCTATAGCAGGTGCCTGGACCTTACATTGGTTTCTCGGTCACTTACCAGGAAAGTGCACTGGTTTTCGGATCTGAAAACGCGGGGCAGTGACCATACACCAACTTACCTGAGTATAGAAGGTTTCACCAGCTCCAAGTCCTCAAGAGGCCTCAAATACACCGATTGGCCGAAATTCAAAATGTTAATGGAAGACTGCTCTACCGACGGCTCATCATATAACCTAGAGGACTCGATAAAGGATGTCCTGCAGAATACCACGCATACACATTTGACTAGTCACAAGCGCACTGATTTTGACATCGAGCTTGAGAAACTTCGCGCAATACGCCGTCGTGCAGAACGATGGTACCGACGCACAAAGTGCACGGATGATTTGAGGCTGGCTAGACGCATTGAAAAGAAAATGCAGCGGCGCATGGATAAACTGGCTAGGCGACGATGGACATCCTTTTGCGAGTCGCTGGATCCACGAAAGCCCCTATCACTGATATGGCGAACTGTCCGGGGTCTTAGCACAACCTTGGGTCAGCGACACCCGTTTACATCTCTGGCACTTCACCTTCGATGCAGAGAGATTGACGTCGCAGAATCTTTCTGTAGAAGAATTGCCGGTGATTCGAATTTCACAGTATCAAGAACGGGAACATTTGACAACCAACCGCCCTCACGTGATCCCCGTATGGAATGCCAGTTTTCTATGGATGAGCTAGAGGCGGCACTGGCACTGTGCAGACGGTCTTCAGCACCCGGACCTGACGGCATTACCTATCGTGCCCTTTGTAATCTTGGAGACGAAGCTCGGAAGGCACTCTTACGCCTATACAACGACTGCTGGCAGACTGGTACGGTTCCCCAGGCATGGAAGTCAAGTCGCCTCATTCCACTTCTAAAGGCTGGTAAGTCTCCTTTAGATATTGCCTCATACCGTCCTATCGCACTTGCCAGTTGTGTGGGAAAAACGATGGAACGAATGATTCTAACACGAATGGAGTGGTATTTAGAGCCCTACGAAATCTATCCGGTATCCATGACCGGATTCAGGCGCGGCCATTCGTCAATCGACAACGTTGTTGATCTGGTGACATATGTTCAACACCAGAAAGCCTGTAAGAGAGTATGCGCCGCCCTGTTTCTAGACGTTACGGGGGCTTACGACAATGTCACCTATGAAGCCATCCTTAGTGCTTTGGAAAGAGTAGGTCTTCGTGGCAAGATATATATCTGGGTGTACAGCTACTTACAGCTGAGATCATTTTACGTGATGATAGCGAATGGCCCAACACCTGATTATTACAGCAGCCGAGGAGTTCCTCAGGGAGGAGTGCTAAGCCCTACACTTTTCAACCTAACTCTCATTAGTCTAGTCGAGCACTGTAGCACTGTAGAACTGTAGCACTGTAGCACTGTAGAACCTAGCACTGTAGAACTTTCTGTCTATGCTGATGACATCTGCATTTGGACATCAGGTGTGACGAGGCCTCAGCTTCGAGCCTGCCTTCAGAAGGCTGCTACAACGACGTCATGCTACCTTCGTAAACAAGGCCTCGAGGTGTCTGTCCTGCGGAAAATGTGCAGTGGTAGCGTTCACGCGGAAACCAATGTCTGCTTAAAGCATATCGATTAATGAAGAATATATATTGTTCAGCAGAAGCCACAGGTTCTTGGGAGTCATAATAGATAGAAACCTGTCGTAGACTCCACACGTGAACTATGTGAAGAAGCGGCTGATCGCAACATGCCACGTGGTCAAATTCCTTGCAGGAAAGAATTGGGGAGTGCCTATACCATCCATGCTACAACTGTGCAGAGTGCTGTTTATTGGATTCTTACGGTACAGCTTACCTGCAATATCTAACACCGGCAAGACAGACCTGTGCGCAATTCAGAGCATTCAAGCTCAAGCATTTAAGATATGCCTTGGATTACCCCGCAGTGCTTCAACGGCTGAAACAATTGCCATCGCTCAAGATCACTCGATAAGGACGCATAATATTACCGAGACAATGCACATGCACCTCAGGCATTATGCCAGGACCCCTTCTCACCACCTGGTGAGCCTAGCTGCTGAAAGGCCCCGCACGACATACGGCACTATTGTCTACAAGCATCGTTCATCGTTTGCTGAGACATACGCACCTGAATCAAAGCCACTGCTTCATCCTTGAAGCTTGAGCCGGCCGCGAGTTCACTTAACGATTCCAGGAATGAGGAGAAAATCGAACTTACCGACACATGCCCTGAAACAACTGAGTCTACTCCTACTGGAACAAAACTACAGTTACCACGTGCACATTTACACAGATGGCTCTACTACGCCGTCTAGTTCAGGTGGAGCAGTGGTTATACTATCACAAGGGGTATCTCAGTGTTTTAAGATTTCTCATGTGACAACGTCAACGACGACAGAACTCGAGGCTCTGCGCAATGCACTGGAACTCATCAATTCAGAAGAAAGACCAGGTAAATGAACTGTGTTTTCTGACACAAAACCAGTGTTACAGTGCCTGATATCAGTTCTTCGACGCGGATGCCATGACCAGTTGACCTACAAAACCGTGAAACTTCACCACCTTTTAATACAAAAAGGCCATGACATCGTCTTTCAGTGGTTACCTGGGCATTGTGGTATAGGCGGCAATGATTCTGCAGATCATGCTGCTCGCACGTCACATAAAGAAGCGAACAGCGTTCTGATTCCGCTTTCAAGAGCGGATGCGGTGAGGCAGATTCGTCAACTGGCCCGCAGTCTCACCCTGACTGAGTGGAACACACGAAGAATACGACGTACAAGACTGCACGAGCTCGACCCTTCACTACAACTCCGGCCTCCACCCGGCTTACATCGACGTGCAGCTTCGCTTCTTTATAGCCTTTGGCTGGGAGTTGCTTCACGAAAGCTTATACCACGTTAATCGGAATTACTGACAGTTCGGCGCGCGATGTTTGCGGCACCGACGAAAATATCGAACACCTACTGTGCCATGGTCCTCGATTTGCCTCAGATAGACAAGTACTTGCCAACGCAATGCGGCGACTGGATGATCGGCCTCTTTCTGTGCAGGTGCTATTACAGCAACGTCCGCATGCCTCGACAGCCCACAAGGCAGTGAAAGCCCTGCTGTGTTTCCTGAGAAAGACAGGCTTGTGTGAACGCCTCTGACATGTGGTAGAGTTATACATGCTGCAGTGAAATTACTGTCAGTCTCTCCCCCACCTTTTTTTCTTTTCCCTCTCTTCGCTCTTTCTCGTCTTTCTAGTCCCCTTTCCTAATCCTCCAGTGTAGGGTAGCCAACCGGATTTCTTTCTGGTTAACTTCCCTGCCTTCTCCCTTTTGTTGCTTCCCCCTCCCTTCCTTCCTTCCTTACACATTGCCTGGTTAATTCTTTACATCTCGGGAGCGAAACATTGCCGCACCCATTCGTAAAAAACAACATATCTATAACTAAAAAAAACATTTTTGTGTTCTCATCCCCTAAAGATGTGCTTAGCAATTTACTGCTACTTCTTTCTTCAATTGTCGATAGCAATGAAGCTCATATCGCTGAAATAAACTGAGATATTGCAAGCGCGATATGCTGAAATTTAGCAAATGCTTGTGTGAGCCAAATACACAGTTATAGTACTTCGCCTACATTTAGGTTTGCCTATAGCACCAAGCGATAATTTGCACACTTAGTCGGTGTGCTGAGAAAAGGCTGAAACATGATTAGTGGCAATGTGTCTCTAAATGCACCAATGTTGTCATTAGAATCAGAGGACGGCGGACAGTTAAAAAAACGAAACAAATAATGTCACTTATATTCAGCACTTTTGTGTTTCACGCTTGACATGGTAATCCCTCACAAATATTTTGGGGTTAAGTGGTCCATATTTATATTATAAAGACGTCGCAGTTCATCAAGGCAGCTTGCAAGCCCTGGTTTGTGAATAAGAGTTCTCGCTGGATATCAGTGGAGCACATAATGTGATTATGAAGATAGCAGGCCGCCACAGCCACAAGGAAACGTTTCGTATAGAAAGCGTTTAAAGAAGTGAGCTGATAGCATGCAACTTAAAGGAGGAGTATAAAGAAAATTACGTCATTACAACATAAAATAAGCATTCCGGCCCACTCTGGCGTTTCAGATCCTGGGTACCGGACACCAAAACCAAAGACTACCAAATTCCCTAAAGGCACCTACATTCCCGGATCAGCCATAAAGGTAAACTTCAGTAGCTATAAAGAAGAGGAGAGCAGAGTTGAAAATGTAGGAAGAATAACTACTTTCGGGAAACCGGTTGGCTTCTCTACTCGTAGGGAGCCGCTTTGAGGAAACTGAGAAGGCGCCTATTTAGTTGTTTGTAACAGCCATTGCAGCGAAAGAAGAGGGACGGAAGTAAAAATTGCAACAGCATCAACAAAAAAGAACATGAACGGCTAGCAATGAGCGAAACTTCCACACGTTAAAAAACGGAGAGAACTTCGAGAAAGCCCTAAGAAGCTAAATTGAATTCATGAAATCGCGATCAAGAGTGTTGACACATCACATTATCACTTAGCGCTCCTACTGCCATGAGTAAACTGCAGCACTGGTTCCACTGTCACAACATGGTTGTTCAGTGTCATAGGAATTGGTATAACACGGAAGTATAACATGTATTTACAGAAGTAGGTGAATGTTTAATGTACCTAACATTGTTGCTTAAAGGGAGCTTGCCCATCAGTGTTTGACAGTGTTTGACAGTTATAGCACAACTTAACGTGGATGAATCCGCGTTGAGCTTGGCGGTACATTTAACAAAACCTTCATGCCATAGATACTTGTGGTACCTGGGTGAGAGTGGAACCGGAGAAAATGATGTGACCACCACAAAAGCGCGTCATTGTTTGTATACTGAACCCGGGCAAAGACCGCCTTTTCACGGCGTGTTAGAGTATTGAACCTGTATTGAACACTAGTGCCCAACCGTAGGGAAACGCAATGACCCTCGTGTCTTCCCGGTGGGCTGGCTGCGGTTTCTCGCGGGGCAAGCGTAAGCTGGGAACGCCGAGTTATGTCCACACGCCACGCCTCGAAGAGCTATTATTAACGCGATAGCATTGGAGAGCTCGTGTCACAGAAATTCCGCCGTGGGCGTCGGCATCGTTAGTTGTGAGCGAAAAATCGTCCGTGAGCGAAAAATTGAGAAAGAAGCAACTAATATAAAGAAAAAAATTTTCGGTCCCATTGAGGATTGAACTCAGGTCGTTCGCGTAGCACGCAGGTGTCCTACCACAAAGCGACGATGTTACTTGCAACTGCTTCGGGAAAAACACTACATAAATGTCATGTAGGGCAAGGAGTCTTTTTAATGCATTTTGTTCGACAGGTGTCACAACAAAAATGAGCCTATTTGTAGGCGCATTTGTGGGCGCATTTGGGAGGCCATCAAACTAAGTCCGAAAAGGACGGGATGTTGCAGCCATCGCCACTAAAAACACACAGAAACTTTCAAACAGCTCTAAAAATGGACAACTATGTCTATCTAGCGGAAAACATATCATGCCTTTCCAGAGGCGTTGATCAAGCAAACAGAAAACGTTAGATAATGTGCTGCCATCTGTGAGGCATTGCCAGATTTTTATGGGCTCCGAAATGGCAAGTGCACGGCGCGTATCTTGGATGCCATGCGACTCTTGCTTTAGATAAAAAAATTGGCAGCATATCCACGGAGTTAATGATAGAGGGTGGGGCGAAGCATTCGTACGTCCATTCGTTTTTTGCTTCCGTCCGTTCATTCGTCCATCTTTGTAACCGTTCATGCGTTCATCCGCCTGTCCGTGCGTGCGTCTGTTTGTGCGTCCATCCCTACATCCGCCCCTGCGTCCGTTCATGCGTCCATCCATGCATCTGTCTGTGTGTCCGTTCGTCCATATATTCAACACTCCAAGTACCACCATCTCGCATCTTTTCATCATATACTCCCCATAGAGAAGCACCGCCATTCAGCGGACATTTCAAGGACTAAACGAGAGGTGGCACACGCACACTCTCTTTTGGCCGCGTTCACACTGAGCATTCCGGCCGCCGAAAGTGCTCTGAATCCGCTTCGGCGGCGGCGAGTTCCGCTGAAAGGGCCTTCTCCGCGGCGATCGCTCTCGGACTGATTTTTGCGGCGTCTGCCGCCGAATCGGTCACCGCGGACCAATAGGAGCGCTAGTCAAGGAATTTCGAAAAATGGCGGCCAAGCCCTACTCACTTGTTATGCCACAGTGCACGTAACTGAATGTTGAAACCAACGGGAGTTTAACATACTCTGTGCCTACTTCGCGTCCGTATTTCGTGGAAGAGGTGACCGAGCTTGCTGTTGGCGTGACCGAGCTTGTTGCGGTCTTGCAGAGCAAAACGAACCCACCAACGACGCTGGCGTCGGTGGTTTTTCTGCCCTTCGTGCATTACAAGACAGCCACTTGCCAGCGAAGTAAGCAGTACCGTCTTTTCTTGCTTCTTGCGTACGAGAATCGTCGAAGTATACACCACCGGATAGCGTAATGGCGTTTGCGAGCCGCGACAACAACCGGGTGACAGCGAATCCATCCCGCGTTCGCCCCGTAGTCGATGGCATATTCGGCGGCGCGGGGCGCGTCCAGTGCGAACGACGCTGCGTTTCGGCGGCCGGGGAAATTTGGTCGCTGTAGAAAGCGGATGTTCCAGTGTGAACTAGGCATTACGGCTTGCGCTTCGGGTCTACTTCCCACCTTTAACCACGTCGAGTACATGGTACATACTAGTTCACTGTATTTATGGCACTGCGGCTTAACGCTCGATAAACCTTTCTAAAACCAAGGAGGTTACGCCCAGCGAGTATAACGTAGCAACCTTTTCTTGCCAGATAACGCTCAATGTACATGCCAATGGCAAATGAGAGACAGGAGAATTCGGCTTTTACTTTCTTGCGACTTGCGCTTCGTATCTACTTCCCACCTTTAACCACCTCGAGTTCATTCATGGTATATACCAGCGTCACCTCCGGGGGTGACGATACCAGTTGATTTGATTCATGGCACTGTGGCTCAACGCTCGCTAAACCTTTCTAAAGCTAAGGAGGTTACACCCAGCGAGTATAACGTAGCAACCCTGTCTTGTCAGATAGTGCTCAATGTACATGCCAATGGCTGCTAATGGGGATCACAGCGTGCGCGTTAACTAAAAGCCGAATGCTCCTGTCTCTCATTCCCTATTAGCAGCCATTGGCATGTACATTCAGCACTATTTTTTATTGTTCAACAACGCACATAAGAAATCTCACACCGGCATTACCTTGAAGGTCAAAACGTTGTACTAGTTACATACTAAAACGACTACGAGGGACGAACAGGTGCCGCTATAAGGAGTTTCGCCCCTAAAAACCTGCATGTGCCATTCGCGCGCGCGCGCGCGCACGTGTGTGTGGGTCTGTGTGCCGTCTATGAGACAGTGTGAAAAAATTGCCCGCAGCTTCCCTCGGGGGAACACTGAGGAGGATGCGGACCATATAATTGGTTAACGGGGTGTTAAAGTGCGACTTACTTGGGTCGATGGCTAAATTGGTTAACGTGGTTGTGAAATGGGGTGTTAAATTGCGAGTTACTTGGGTCGATGGCTAAATTGGTTAACGTGGTTGTAGGAGGGGGTGTTAAATGAGTGAACACGTACACACGTATGCGAAAGGGCGGCGCTGGTCGAAGGGACGTCAATCATTGTGTTTGTGGATTCGTTGGAATTCCTTTCACCGCGACCTTGGACGTCGACGCGCTGTACAAACCAACCGACGAGCGGCAACTGAGCGAGCGAGCGCCGACCTTGAGTATATATACAGCACGACGGCGCATGCACTGTCAGCTGTTGAATGTTCTCGAAGCGCGACGCCACATGCGCGTCCACTGGAGAATCAGGAGAATTGTAGATGTCGAACGCGGTGTGTAGAGGAGGAAGGGTGCACAGATGGTGGAGGAGTGAAGCGCGCGCGGTGTGTAGAGGAGGAAGGGATGCACAGATGGTGGAAGAGTGGGCGACGGCGCGACGGCGCATGCGCGCGCGTCAGCTGTCGAATGTTCGAGAAGCGGTGCGGACGGCGCACTACAAGGCGCGAGTATAAGATGCTCCGCATCTAAAACGTGTCTGTGTGAAACAGTGTGAAACAGTGTGAAAAAGTGCCATTATATCAGAGAAAAGTGGCCACGCTGCACAGTCTTGCTCATCGATGAGTGCCTGCGGGGCATTCGTTTTAAGTAATGTCCCACAACTAACGAGCCAGAATAATGCTAACGTTCAAACACGAGCAACTAGGACCACTACCCACACTGCCTTATCTGCGGCACTTCATGCAGTATCTGTTTCAACTGGTGCTCGACGACGAGGGAGTATGCGGAAGTATGCGCTTAGCGGTTGAAGGACGCACTAGGGGCAGGATTTTGCTATAACGTTCAACTATTAAAGGCGAAGCTTAAGCCCCCCCCCCCTTTTTTTTTGGTATGGATAGACGCTATGAGCGAGGCGGACGTGGTTTTAAATGTTACCGCTTGGCAGTCTGTTGCACCTAACGTGTTGAAAAAATGCATTTTTCATAATTGAAACGCGCTGAATGGGACGGAAGCGCAGAAGTGACACTTTGAAAGAACTAATCGTGTAATATATAAAAGGCGTGTTCTTAATACAGGCAAATTGTATGACCGTTCTGCAGTAGACAGCACGCCCGGCTTCTCTTATCGGGGACCAAGAGGTCCTACATTCGACTTTCGTTGACGGAACACTTTTTTCTCCATGTTTTGGCCATGTATCTTTTCAACGTCCTTTCCGTGATAGAAATACGCCACTGAAGTTTTGGCGGACCCTGGAATATAGCACTTCTGTGCTGACAAAATTCCGCAGATCTTACGTTTTATGCAAATCGATGTTAATAGGTTGAGGGCTGCACGGAAACCTTCTGATAAAGAACATACATAAAGACAATTACAGTGACGATGAACCCGAAGAAAGGAAAAAGCAAGACGGTTTGGCACCCGTATGGGACTCTTGTTCAATATTAAAAATTGAGTGCGTGAGCCATCCGGTCATGCATGTTCTAAAATGTTTTAGTATAAGATGTTTACATGTGTGAGAATTTTTCATCACCTGCAATGGAGTGTGTGTGCCAATGTCTGGATTGCGATATATTCCAGATTAAGCATGAGATGAGCCCTTTTTTTCTGTCGGTTTGGTAT